ATGTGGAGATGTTTGATTGGTGGTTGGCTCCATAAGGGAGCCAACCATTGGCTCCATAGCATTATTGTAATAATTCCGCCCTAACTTCAACTATTCAGCTATATTTTTTAGTTTTGGAAGTTAATAAATTTTGATAAAATGCAACTGATATTTTTTGGATTTTTTTTCCTCTGCAATAAATATTATATATATATTTAACGAAATGCAATTTAATATTTTTTTTCCGAAACGATAGATATTATATCACTAGAAAATCATGTACAAACAAGAAAACAAGCTGCGACACAGCATAATGAGAGACCCACTAACAATAGCGACTTAAACAAAACATTCCCCAAGTTATACAAGGAATAGGAAACCGGTAAAGGCCGAGGCTAAGGATCTGGCCATATTCTTTGTATAACCGTACTGCCCAGATGAGTACAGTCAAAAGATGGAGCGACCACTGAACAAATGGACCTAGCCACTCCATCACTACTAAACAAGAAACAAAGAGAATGCCCAAAAGAAAGAAACTAGCAGAGCCAACCAAAGAAAATAAACTAAACTAGACTAACCTGAACATGAAGAGAATTCCATCCACGAGGAGCTAGCTGCTTGGATAATGGAGTATTCACAAAGCAAGAAATTTTGGAAAACCCATAGATTTATGGCTTTCCAAAGCCATCAGAGGACGTATACAATGAGGTTGAGTCTCTGCATGAAGCAAGATGAATGTCTTGTGCTGCAGACCCCTATCCACCAGTGCTTGAAGTTGAAAGAGTCCTTGTCAAAATCATCCCATGAAACGACAGCCAATTTCCAAACTATTTTGGCCTTGCAACACATAAAGAGGAAGTGTTCAAGAGTTTCTAATTCAGCACCACAAGATTTGCAAATAGGATCTATGTGTTTAAGTCTGATGAGCAGCTGTTGTTTTACAGGTAGTGCGTTGGTGAAGCACTTCCAGATAAAGTGCTTGAGCTTGCTGGCAGTGTTGAGAGTCCATATATTCTTTATAGCTGCCTTGATATCCCAAATGTTGACATACGTACCTTTTTTGATGATGAACCTCACATTATTAGAGAAAAAGGGCAGCACTTTTCCCCAGCAAGACCATAGCCATGAGCCACTATTGGGCTTTTTTGCAGAAAGCAGGTGAGAGTGAGGGAAGTATTTACCCTTCAATACCTTGCTTACCAGTAGGTCAGGTTGGGAGCAGACTCTCCACAACTGTTTTGAGATTAGGGCCCTGTTCATAAGGTGGATGTCCAAGAAGCCTAGAAA